TCCCGGCCTCCGTTTAATGCAATTTTTATATCACCGTGATCACCATTCTTTTCTCTACAGGTTGATCGGAGCCGAATCACCAAAACACGAACTTCACCGGAGAGCCACCGCACCCGAGAGCACCGCCGCTGGTAAGCTTAGGTTTTCCGTAAATTTTCGGCCCCCCGAGGGCCGTAGGGTTGTTTTATTGCAGGAACCAATGCGAGTGTGGCCGAATTCTGCCGGAAACGGCCGAAAACGGCCAACCCGAGGCGAACCGCCGCCGCAAGCAGCGGAGCCGCCGTGCCGGAGTTGCGATATTGGCCGAAAGGGGCCCTGGGCCTAATTTGGAATTTTTTGGAACACGTGCAGGTACTAGTAGTGCGTTTCAGTTCCCCGGGAAAAATTCAGGAAAAATTGGGGACAGCCTGTAAGCGCACTGTGAAGCCGTGTTCGGACCCCGAAACGTGTAAGGACCCCTCACCCTATTTCCTATCACAGTTTTAAAGTTCAATAAATGATAAAATGGTATTTCATGAATCAACGAATGTGTGAAATTGCTTAAGGTTGCTAATGGAGCCCGAGTCTAGTGTGTTTGTCGGTTAACTGTTATTTGGTCTGTTTTACAGTTTTAAATGCAGCATGAGGTTGGATGTTTTCATTTTATAGTTTCGTGTGCATATTGTACTGTTTTATTGATTATGGATTGAATGACTGGGATATTGATGCTGTATATTGTCTGTTTGGCATAAATTACTGTTTTGCTTGTTGGTATGTGGATTGATGATGCTGACTGAGGAAAGAGAATGAAAGATTATGTAAATGGGTAATTGTATAATGTGGTCAGCCTGACTAGATATCCTGGGAGATGGTGGACGGACCGAGTCCATAGGGAACCCTACCGGGATTGTGGTCTCCCATACCGGACGGGGTATGGAGATCTTATGTATTTTGGCGCCCATACCGGACGGGGTATGGGGATGGCCCGTTTCACCCTCATACCGGACGGGGTAATGAGGTTTATGGTTTTGGCACCCATACCGGACGGGGTATGGGGACGGCCCGTTTCACCCTCATACCGGACGGGGTATGGGGACGGCCCGTTTCACCCTCATACCGGACGGGGTAATGAGGTTTATAGTTTTGACGCCCATACCGGACGGGGTATGGGGACGGCACTGGAATACGATTTCAAGTGTTGAGGGTTAACGGGTAGCGGGATCCCCATGGATACTAGTGGGCTGGTAAATGAGGAAAATATGTTGTGTAACGATTGAATTACGAAAAGCTTGATAGGTATTATGTTATACAGTTTATATATACGGTTTCATGATGATATGATGTTATTGCTTTCGTATATTGTTTTATGAATTTCACCGAGGTAAGTGAATGGTAAAGGTTTTATTATTAATAAAAGGATTTGTTGTAAATTATGCTCCATTGGTCTTTTTGTGTTTTCTACCCACCTTTACCTCCGTGACGGTGAGATATCGTGATGTCTTTACTGGGCTAGTGTAGCTCATTCCTTATTTAATCATTTCAGATCAAGAGGACATCGTTCCCGAGCCGGTTCCGCAGGAGGACGACGAAGGGGACGCCTAAAGACTCCATAGTCATATTCGTAGCTTTTACTTTCAAGTTTCTCCTTTAGGTAGTTTGATCTTTTATATTTTATGAGCACGTTTTTGGTTTTAGTGTAAGAGATGTTATTCAAATTTTGACTTCGCTTCCGCATTTGATATTTTTAATATACATTTCATTATGAATTTCCGGGGCTGCTACATCCTAAATATTATAATTCTAAAGAATATCAAAATATTTATTAAATTAAATAATCTAATATTTTGACGAATTAATTAATTATTAACAAAGATTAACTAGTTTTTTATTATTAAAAAATAAAATAATATTTAACAACTTATTATTAAAAATCAGCAACAAGAAGCAAAAAAATTTAGTTGTACTGGAAAAAAATAATATGCAAAAAATTGAAGAAGACAAAAAAAAAAGAAATAGACAAGGCTTGCAGCTGTAAGAGGAGCGCTCGCCTGGTTGCACTCTAGAATCAACAAAAGAAAAGAACAAGAAGAATAAGAAGAACAAGAAAAAGAAGAATAAGTAGTAGTAGTAGGAGTAGTAGTAGCAGCAGTAGTAATGGCAGTATTAATAATAGTTGCACTAATAGCAGTAGTAGCAATATTAGCAGTAACAGTAGCAGCAACAGTAGTAGTAGTAGTGGTAGTAGCAATAGCAGTAGTAGCAATATTAGCATTAGTAACAGTAGCAACAGTAGGAGTTATAGCAATAGGAGCAACTGTACCAGTAGTAGCAATAACAACAGTAGTAGCAGAGTAATAGTAAAAATGGTAGTAACAGTAGTAATAATATTATTGGTAATAGTAGCAATAGTAGTCCTAGTACTGGTACCTATAAATACCTATGTACTTGAAAGCTTTTAGTATCAACCACAAATCAAAGCTTGAGTTTCTCAATTAGTCTTTTTTACTTCTTCCTCTCATATTTCAACAAATTATTATATTCAGTTAGCGTATCTCTTCATTTTTTTAACAAAAATAAAGCAAGCCTAATTTATGATTTTTCCATTTGTAGGTTAATTTGTACATTCAAATTCTTCTTTAATTGAATTAATATGACAATAAAACTTTTCTTTTCTCATTTAAATTAATTAATTAATTTAAGTGAAGAAATCTCTAAAAAAAAACTGGATAATTAATAATACTATTAAAATAAACTAGTACTTATAAATGCCCATGTACTTGAAAGCTTTTAGTATCAACCACAAATCAAATCTTGAGTTT